AGCCCCCATATTCCTTCCCTGACCCAGTGCCCCCTTCCCCTCTCGTTTGGTGGAGCTCAGGCTGGGCCTGCTTCTCACCCCTAGGCTAAGGGGATGCGCAGTCCCATGGGCAGGATCCTCTGCTCCCCTGTGTGCTGCTCCCCATCCCACAGCGACCAGGGAAAACAGCAGGGCTCTCCCCATGGGCTTGGAGCTCTTCATCCCCTCCCTCTCTGCTTGCCGCCTTGAGCTGCTGGGTGCTCTTCTCCGTCCATCCCCATTCCCTGAGTGAGGCTCCCGTTTGGCAGCTGTGGTAGTGCTGGGGGCAAGGGCATCCCCAGGGCTCGCCGCTTTCTGAATTGAATTATTTTTTCAAGAATAAACATTGCACAGCTGTTGAGCTGGGTGTGTTTCATATCTGGTTTTGTGTACCTTGGGCTCAAATCCCCAGCCCTGGCCAGTTTGCCTGGAAAGGACATCCTCTGTGCCACCTACAGAACTCTGTGACAGCCAGGAGCCTGCACTCAGAGTTGTTGGTCCAGATATCCTGCTTTTGGGTATGTAGTTCCTAAGGAACAGCCCTTAAGGGCTCTATGTCTCCTGGTTTGGCCTGGAAGAGCTGGCATAGAGCCTGGTTACCTTCTGCACAGCATGCTGAACTTCAAACCATAGAAAGGAAAGAGATGCAGGTTTGGCATAGAGGAAGCTGTTCTCTTTTCTTCTGCCTACAGTATACGTGGTCCTGGGAGCAGTCCAGTGTGAGATCTCTTGCTGAGTATTACTGGAGCTGTTGCAGCTCTGGTGCCAGCAGAGGTCCTCCAAGCCCTGCCCGCTGCCAGGGTGGCTGCTGCAGGTTTGCTGCTTCCTCCTCAAGCTTTTTTTATTATCTGCAGTTCAGTAACTGACAGAAACTCTGCCTATTGGCTCTTGTGCATAATGAGCCACTGTGCTGCCCACTACCACCCTTGCCCCTGCTTTTCTCCTCGGCTCCCAGCTCTGTCTCCTTGGGGTGGGGGCAGTGAGCAGGCAGCACAGGTCTCAGTTCTTTCTGACTGCTCCCGTTGGATTTGGGCTTCTTTCCTCTTGGTGCAATAGGCTACAAGGGATTTTTTTTTTTTTTCTTCTATGCCCAACTTCTGTCCAAGGTCACAGCACGAGGAAGTGGCAGCAGGAGGGGACATGAGGCCAGCCTTAGCCTGAGCTGTTAAACCCAAGAGTGTTCATGAGGACAAAATAAAAAGGAGGTGCGTGGAGGCCCTTTCCCAGCAGTGCATCCCAGGGAACAGGGAACTGGAAAGGGCTGGGGTGGGACCTGTGCTCTGAGAAGAGCAGGGCACAAAGGTGGCTGCTGTCAGCAGGACCCAAATGAAACTGGGATGTGGAAGTAGCAGCCATCAGTCCCAACCAGCCCAGACCCATTCCCCAGGGTGAGGCCCAGCCTACTCCCATTGCCTCCCAGGGTCTAGGCGCAGCTAGGTGCTAGAGGCTTTCCCCCAGCTGCTTGGCAGTGCTGGGACAGAGAAGAACCATCATCTCTCCATTGCAACCACCACCTCCAGAGATCAATCCTTGCAGTGCTGGGACTCTGCCGGCTCAGTGCTGTGGAAACAGCAGAGCCCTGTGGGGTTATAGGGTACCAGCTAGGGATATAGGGAAGGTAGGTGTGGGTGAGACTCCCCCCCCTCCCCCTTTCACACACACCAAAACCCAAGGGGCTATTAGTTTCCTCAGAGCTCCGTTTACAGGAGTGAGGCAGGGATGTACCAGCTCCTGTATCCCGACCCCCCTCAGCCCTGGTGTCATCCAAATCCTGGTTCCCAGGTCTGAGCCCCACGGCCCCCCCGCAGCCCGGCCCCGCTGCCTTTGTGCAGCCTTACAAAGGAGAACCTGTCCAGGCTGCTCCATGTCCCAGGAGCTGGCTGATAATTAAACAAAAGCAAAATAGCCTTGGCATGAAATCTGACCTTTCCAGAACTTGGGGGTGGGAGGGAAAGAGTAATTTTGCATAATTTCTGGTGGCTTTTTTTCTTGCATCATGTTTGTTCTGTAGGCATCTCAATACCCACAGGTGCCGGGGGATCATGGAGTGCCCTCACTGCAATGCTGATTAATATGGCCCCATGGATGGATGGAGGGAGGTGTCCTCAAGGCAAGGACAGGAGGATGGGATGATGTCCTGATCCTCTTAGGTGAAGACATCTCCATGCTATAGGGGTGCCAATGCCTGGGACACACTGGCCCTGGCCCTGTTCTTGCAAGAGAGGCATCCAAACCAAGATGGAGATCCCAACTTGGAGAGCAGATTTCCCATTTTTACACCCTCTGCTTTACAGAGAACCCTGGCACCAAGGTCTTATGGGGTGGCAAGGTGCCCAAACTGCCCCCAAGAAAACACTTTTTCTCTTGGTCCCAGTGGCAGTGGACTGTCCCCAGGCACCCAGCATGGTCGTGCCCCTCCCATGGGCCACCTCCCATCCATATACAACAAAGCCTGGCAGCAAATTAATCTTCAACTGGGCACCAAGGATTGTTGCTGAATCTTTATTACACTGCGTCCTGCCCAGCACAGCGTTAACGATTAACCCAGTAGCTCTGATATCAGCTCTAGCACCCTGCATTTCTGCTATCCCTGACAGCATCTTATCTGATAGCCCTGCCATAAATCTGGGCATGGAGCTGCCTGAAAGCACCCACGCCTGCAGCTGCCCCAGGGGGTCATCGTGGGGTGAGAAGGAGGAAGAAGGAGCAGGTGAAGGTGGTAATGCCTCACTTCTCCCATGCCCTTCGAGGGTGTCCTCTGCTCTCCAGTGGGAACATTAGGAGGGGATGTCTTCACAGCTGGCACTTCTTGGACAGGCAGTATGGATGAGTTTGCTTTGTTTTCCATTTGCATCCGTTATGGGCACAATCTGTAACAGCTGCAATTCTTCCTCTTCCTGACAACTGTCACTGACCCCCACCAAAGGTAATTAAAAAGGAGAGGTAAGCTCATTTCCTCCAGAGCCAAGCCCTGCTTGGCACCCTGCCCCAGTGCACGTGATGTTTGCAGCAAACGCATCCAGGACTTCTGGCTGGTGTGTGGCACCTATCTCAGAAGGTGTACCGGTCCCACTCTGGGGCTCCCAGGTGTGAAAGCAGCCATGCCCCCATCCCAGTACATTCTGTCTTGCTTTCCAAGCAGGGCCAAAGTCCCCATTTGAGCCCAGAAAGCAGATATTAGGGGTAAAGAGAGCATCAGAGGATGGTCTCAATTGCTTCGGGGCTTGGGGGGCAGCAGCAGATGGGAGAAGGCAGCAGCGAACAGAGCTGGTTTGGGTTGGATATTAGGAAAAAAATTCCATTCAGAAAGAATTGCGATGCACAGGCAGCCCAGGAAGGTGGTGGGGTCATCATCCCTGGCGGTGTTCAGGAACCACAGGTGGAGCTGTGACACTGAGGGATGTGGTCAGTGGGCATGGTGGGGTGGGGTGAGGCTGGCCTGGGTGATCTTAGAGGCCTTTTCCAATCTTAATGATTCTATGACTTCCTTGCAAAAAGCAAACCCTGCTCATGTCCCCACCACCAGCTCACTGCTCATAGCGAAGCCAAGTGGCCAGAGGGGCTGGAAGATATGTGGCTGGAGGATATGTGACTGGAGGTGGCTGTACCCCATGGTTCAGCCCTGTGCAAGGCAATGCTGCTGGCAGCACACACACCCAGACGCAGGCACGCATCCCATCAGCTGTCCAGAACACAAGGCCAAGGACACAACCATGGGACAATAAGGAAGATTCTGCTGTCGTCACGTGCACCAAAGGTGTTTGGCCTTACCTGCTGATGTCACAGCACTGCTGGGTGCTGGCACAGCTGCCCAGGGAGGTGGGGGAATTCCCATCCCTGGAAGATGGTTTGAGAACTGTGGGGATGAGGGACAAGGTCAGTGGGCATGGAAGGGTGGGTTGGAATTGGACTGCGTGATCTTCATGGTCTTTTCCAACCTCGATGATTACGTGATTCGATGAAAACCCCGCACACAGGGCCACAGGGATGGAGTCCCCACCTTCCACCAGGGACAACTCACCCCTGTGGCAGGTTCACACCTTCTGCCCCATGGCTGCCCCACAGTCATGGGAGGAGCTGAGCCCCAAAGAGAGAGGGGAGGAACTGGTCTCCTCCTTGCCTCCATCCGCATCCGGAAGGAGAGACTGGTCTTTCAAGTTCCTGCGGGTAGAGGAGATCACACAGTGCCACAGAAACTGCATCGCCCGCAGAAACCTCCTGCACCAGCATGGGGACGGGCAACACCAGCACCTCCAGGAAGGGTTGGGGCAGTGCCAGCTCTTCCATTGCTCGGCATGGGAGAATATGAACAAAAAGCGCTGACGTCAGCCCTAAGGTCACGGGGTTGTGGTGAAACTGGGGCTGGTACCATTGCTGAGAAAGAGGAGGAAGAGTGGCAGCCCTTCCCACAGGGCACGGCCCCAGCCTGAGTCACCCAGGGTGGGAGCAAGTCCTGTGCCTGTCCCACAACTGGCCCTGCTGTGGGGACAGGGCCGGCAGAATGCAGCATTTAAACCTCATGGGATGGCAGTGAAAATGGATTGAAATCCCAGTTGGGGGGCAGTTGCAAGAGGACAGGCTGCTTCAGGAATGCCAGAGCCCCCCCATCCCACTGGGCTCAGCTCCCAGGAGCAGGGCTGTACCAAGGCTGTTTGCAGGGGGAACTGGGTTACACAGACACCAGGAAAATCCCCTGTAGCTCCAGCCCTGCTTAGAATACAGAAGGGCTCTGGCAGAGGGCAGGCGAGCTGCACAGCTCCCAGCCATAACTGCTGTGCAAACACAGCCCTGCTCGGTTCCAGCACTGAGAAGGCAGAGTAGGCACAGGTGGAAGGAAGCTGCAGGAACAGGAGTTTATTGAACACAGCAGAAAGTGATTTATATCCAAGATGATTTTTATTATTATTTCTTCTTTTCCTTTACAGCACAAACCCACACTGAAATCGCAGCAGGGTGCAGGAGCAGAGCTATGCTTCATGTCAGGGCAGGGGCAGCACAGGGCTCCGGCCAGCAGCGTGCAGATGTCAGCCCCTGGGCAAGCACCAGCCCCATGCACAGGGCTGGGGACAGGTAGGTGCCAGCATGGCAGAGGCACCGCAGCCACCTGCCCACAGGGGTTGGGCAGGGCCAGGCCAGCGCCTGTTTCATAGCCCTGAGTTCAGCCTGTGCCCTACCTCCTGCTGGCCTCAGCAGATCAGATCCAGCGCTCCTCCCTCCAAAACAACAAAAATCTCTATGTACAGATGCATTGTGCCATATCAGTACAAAAATATACAATGTATAAACTCTACAGATCCCAGCTCAGTAGATCAAACCACAGCTATAAATCACAGTGCGTGGGACAGCATCAGGCCCAGGGAGCGGTGGGGCCCTCAGGAGCACCCCAACACAGGGCAGGGGAGGGTATGGCTTCTTGCTGCCTCGCAGGGTCACTTCTTGTCCAGGTAGCAGTACAAGTACATAGAGACCACCATGGCTGCAACCTGGGAGGAAAAAGGAGAGTCAGAGCCCCAGCTGTGCCTCCAGCATGGGGACACAAGCCCACAGCACCCAGTCTAAGCACCCATGAGGAGGAAGAGGCAGCTGTGCCCAGGGAGGAAGGCTCAGTAGCCGCCCTAAGGCAGATGGTGGCCCATGGGGCTGCACCAGCCCCACAGGAATAAGGAGGGAGCAGTATGGCAAGGCCTGGGAACTCACCTCCAGGGCAGCAATGCCAGCAGCCACGCCACCCACCACATCTGCGTTTGTCCTGATTTCTTCTAGGATCTGATCAAAACAACCCTGAGGAAGGCAACCAAGTGGTGAGCATGAGCAAGTGGCTGTGATCCCCCAGCCACAGAGACCCACTGCCCCAGGGAGATACAGCCGGTTCCCAAGCCCAGAACTGCATGACCATGGAGATGGCCTGGAGGTTCCAGAGTACAATTCATCTCATCCCCCTGGGGTGAGGAAACTGGGGGATTTAGAACCAGGCAATGTGAGCAGCATGTTCATCTCCACTGCAAACAAACCAAAGCCACCACATCCCCCAGGGACCCCACACACAAAAAAATAAAGGGGTCAGACTGGAGGTAAAGGATGGATTCCTCTCCCCATGCCCCCCAAGCATGGGGGAACTTTCCAAGCTGCTGGAAAGTCAGAACTGCTCATGTGTTCATACCGAGACGTTGGCCTGTGCTGCAATTGTAGAGGTGCACGGCAACACAGACTTGCAGCAGGGACCTGGGAAGGTGTAGTTGTGCTGTAAATACCATGGGGAGTTCATAAAGTCTGTGTAGTTATTCAGGCCACAGCAGTGAACCTAAAGGGGAGAAAGAGAGAGAGATGGTGAGCGTATCCAACAAGTCCCTGTGCTCATCCTCCCACCAGATGATCCTCCTAGGCTCTCTTTGCCCCATGGAGGAGATCACCCCCCTCAGCCCAGCTCACTGGGAGTTCAAGGAACAACACCCCACATTTCGGAACATACAGCTCTTGTCCCAGCCTTGGGACCTCTGGATCCCAAGCAGGGTCAGAACAGAACCCATCTCTATCCCACAGGCCCATCTGGGGCACCACCAGTCCTGTGCAGGAAGCATCACGGCCCCGACCCAGGGGTGCAGGCTCCCGGGCTCAGCGCACCTCATTCATGGTGACGTTCCAGATCTGTGTGAGAGCATCGTCCTCCCCATACTTCTCCTTCAGGACAGGAGTCACCAACTGTGACAGGAATGTCTCTGCCTGCAGGAAGAGGCACAGAAACACCATCAGAGAAGATCCCGGTGAGCTCCATGAAGCCAAGGGCCGCCCAATCCCATACTGGTTTCAGCCCATAGGGATGAGGCCAACCGGACCAAGAGCACGTCACACCACATCAGCCTGAGAGCAGCTGGACAACCTCCCTAACCCCACGTTTTGGCAGCAAGGCCACGCACGGTGAGTGAGTCACACAACCCAGGGAGCCAGGAATGACGTTTGCCCTGCGGTTGACTTCTCCTGTGTCTAATGAGGCAGAGCGCACGGGCTGGCAGTAGTCACTTTTCTCCCCAGGTGGATTTTCCAGTGCATAATAAGGGGTTGGTTTGCTTAGCATGAAGCATTAGGGACTTTTGCGTGGCTCCTACCATGAGATGTCCAGCCTTGGCTCATATTAGACTGAGGTGTTTGAAAGAAAGAAATGGGCAAAACTTATACGATAACCCCTGTTTCTTTAGGGCAATGGAAACCCCCATTCCCTGCTCCTTGGACGGCACCTCCACATGGCCAGGCCACCCCCACCTGTCCACATAGGCAGGTGGCTGACGTCCCTCTTGTTTTCCCAAAGCAGCCCAGCCCAAGAATTAGGTATGCCACTCACAATACTTGTGTAGACCAGAACCACCACAGCAGCAGCAATTTCAGCAATGAAGATGATCAGCACCACCGAGAAAAACTAGGATATAGCAAGGGGAAGGAGGTCAGAACAACAGCTGCCCCTCCCAGAAACCTACCCGTTTCCCAGTGACCAATACCACCCTTTCCAGGGCAGAGTTGGAGCTCAGCATTGTCTTTGCAAGGCTCACCCAACTCTCCATAATAAGGGAACACCCCAGGAGGGCATGACCACAGAGAAGTCTATCCCCCAGACCTCCCACACCAGCAACCCTCCTCCAAGGATTGGTAAAACATGACTAAGCACTGACGGGTCCTTACCATCATCAGGAGACATTTGCTCTCCTTCTGGGCACCGCAGCACCCAAGGAAGCCGATCACCACCAAGATGGACCCAATGACGATGAGGAAGTAGCTCACATTCACAACCTGCATGACGCTAGATGAAAGCGACCCAAATATATCCATGAAGGACTTGCCATCCACTGTGACCCAGATACCAATGCCCAGGAGGGTCCCACCACCGAGCTGGGGAGAAGAGAGATGTGTCAGCTCCTGAGCTTGAGGAGTCGTGGGGGTTCTTGGGGAGAGGAACAGCCTTGTTGCTCCATGATGTTACGTTGGAGGACTTCAACCAGTTGATCTGCATCAGCCAGGTGTGTTTTGCAGGCAGCAGCAGCTCAGTAACTCACATTCCTCACAGGGGCTGCTTCCATTCCATTCCATCCCATCCCATATCCCCCCCCCACCCTCCCCACCAGGCTCATCCTCCTCACCAGCCCCACAGAGCCCCATCACCTGAGCCACAATCACTGCCACTCTACATAGAGCCCAGCAGGTGGGACCCAACAAGACTGCAGCTCCTGGGCACCCCACCAGAGCTCAGCAGGGACAGACTCAGACTCAGGTGGCTGATGCAACAAACACTGTCCAAAGCTCAGCGCTGTCCCCTGCTTTCCCTCATTGAGCTTTAGACAGACCATAGGGCACACATGGAATCATTAAGGCTGGAAAAGACCACTACAGTCATCCAGTCCACTCGGCATCCCCATCCCAGCTGCATGGGCCCAGCAAATCCAGGTCACTCTGGTAAGGGACAGCCACCAGAGCACTTACAAATATGGCGAGGTTGAAGAGGATCATCATGACCTTGATGAACGTGAAGCACCCCATGTTTGCACCTGGAGAGAGCAGACGGACGTTACCAGCGGGATCTCACACCCAGCATCAACCTCCCTCCTTGGGGCTCAGGGCATAGAGAACCCCACCGAGCCCCTCCCAGCCCTATCAGAGCCCATCCCCGCCGCGGCTCCCCCCACAACGCCCTCCCCCTCCTACCTGAGCAGCGAACAGCCCCAGCAACCCCGACCCAACGCCACGACTCTGCCACCCCACACCGCCCCGCCGCCCTTTAAGCGGGGGCCGCCCGAGCAGCGGCCGCCTCCTCCGATAGAGCCCCCCCCACCACCATAGGGCCACCCCCTGGGGCTGGCAAAGCCACGAGGGCCCTCGACGAGGTGCTCGGTGCCTTGCTGCCCTCTGCTGCCCGAGCCGCCCTGCCCGGCCGCTGCCTGCGCCCGTCACCGCCTCCTCTGGGAGCTGGGTTGGGTTGGGGGGGAGTTGGAGCCATCGCTAAGTGCTGCTCGGGGAGCAGAATTTTGCTGGCGCACAAATAATTCTGGCAATTTCATAAATATATGCAATGGAGGAGTTCCATTCACAGCCCCAGGGAAAATCCCGGGACGTGCTGCTGTGGCTGCTTCCCACCCCGACCTGCCCACGCACCTGGAGATGGGCGCTCCCCACTGCCCCATTAGGGACCAGGGCTGGATTTTCTGGCTCTCCTGGCCTGCCCACAGCAGGACAAGCCCGGTGGCATTCCCGTGTCCATCCCAAACAGCGAGGCTTGCTTGGATTAATGTCCATGGGGACTCTGACTGAGCTATGCCTCAGTTTCCCTCCCTGGGAAGCACAGGGTAACAAACTCCATGTGGGGCCATGGAGAGCAGGGCATGCAGCCTGGGCTTGGTGGGATTTTGGGGTGGCCCCAGCTCAGTGAGCATCAGTTTGTGGCTGGGAACATCTGCCCATCTGTCTCAGTACCTGGGGTGCTGGGAGGACAGGGACCAGGAGTGGCACCAGCTGGTGTACAGTGGGAATCAAACCCTATTTCTCTTTAATTTCTCCAACTGGGAACACTCAGCCCCATGTCTGCAGCCTCACTCACCCCACCACATTAACAGCCATGCATTTATGCTCCATTTAGCTACAGCCATGGCTGGGATCACACCAGGGTTTCCCAAAGCAAAGTGGGGAGAAGGGAGAGCTGAGTGGAATGCTGCGGTGGTCACCTTGAGGGCATCCCATGAAGATGCTCACACCAAGGGCTGTCCTTTGGCTGTACTAATTCCTGTCCTGTAGGTATGGCCCCAGGGAAGGAAGTGCAGAAATAGATGGGATGTGCCTACCTGGCAGCCAAATATTTGGACATCTCAGCCATACCCAAATGAAATAGCTGTGCTGAGGTTCCCAGGCACACAGAGCTGAGATCTGATGCTTTCACTGCATGTAGCAGCAGTGCCCTGGGTACAGGCTGCTGGTGGGCACAGCCCTGCACGGCTGAGCCAGGCGCTTTGCTGTTCCAGCCCTTTCCATTAAGTTCTGCCCTATTAAATCTTAATCACTGCCTCGTTCATTTTTAAGGAGCCTCTCTGCATGCAGGAGTGTTGCCTTGTGTTATTTCATGGGATGCCTGACCCTTACCCTGGACTGGGAAACATTTCTGGGTAAATGAGAGAGAGGAAGTGGAGCATCCCCGGGCTGTGGTTCTCTATGGCAGCTCCCCATGGCCCCTGCATGGCTGAGAGGTGAGTGCCCAATGGATGAGGTCCAAAGGGTGGAGTCCAAAGAATGAGTGCCACAGGAATGCATGTCCAAAGGGGTGGGTGTCCAAAGGGGTGGGTTCCCAAGGGGTGGATGCTCAAAGGGTAGGTGTCCAAGGAATAGGTGTCCAAGGATGGATATCCAACCATGGATGACCAACGTTGGATGCTCGAAGGAGTTGGATGCCTAAGGGATAGATGTTCAAAGTTTGAATGTCCATGGGGAGGGTGTCTGATGGACGAGTGCCCAAGGGGTGGGTGCCACAGCGTGAGTACCCAAGGGATGAGTGTTCAAGGAGCAGGTACCAATGGCATCAGTGTCCAAGGCGTAGATGCTCAACAGTGGGTGTCCAATTATGGGTGCTTGAAGGATAATTGCTAAGGGATGGTGTCTAAGGGATGAGTTCCCAAGGGATGGGTACCCAGAGCATGGGTTGGATGCTGAGACATGCAAACCCGCAGCCCACCACCCCTATACCCCCAACACCACATTGCCCCCCTTGCTCCAACATTAGAGCTGCCATCAGCTCCAGCCAATCCCGAGGGGACCCTCCGGCTCACCCCATCCCCACGATCACCTCCTCCCTTCACCAGGCAGGCAGGCGGCATCCCCCCCCCTTCCCCTCCACCGGCAGGCCGCCCCCCCCCGCCGCGCTGCGGTGCCGGCGGGCGGGAGGAGGGGACGCTGACATCACCGCCCGGCGCTGCTCGCCGGGGCCGGGCCGGCTCCGCTCCCGCTCACCGCTCACCGCTGCCGCCCCCCGGGGCCGGGGCAGCCTCAGTGCCCGGTAAGGCGGGAGGGGGGGGGCAGCGGGCGGATGGGTGGACGGATGGATGGATGGATGGATGGACAGAGGGCTCAGTAGCCGCCGGCATCCATCTCCCCGTAGGGAAAAAAGGGAGGTGGGGGGGTGAGGGGAGGGGGGGGTTCCCTGCTGTTATCTGCCCGAGGGATATTTATAAATAAATAAATAAATAAACATTAGTCCATAAATATATAAACAAATAAATGAACTTTAATCCTAGAGGCAGAAGGGGTCCTTTCCCTGACATTATATGTCTGAGAGATATTTAAAAGGCACTAAGGAAAAAGAAAAAGAAAAAAAAAGAAAAAAAAATTAACAACAACAACAACAAAAAAAGAAATCACTAAAATCCTGTATTTTTGCACAACCCCGTGTGCTGTTCCGGGGCTGCAGGGCGGCTGCTCAGCCCGTGTGTCTATTTTAAAAGCACGTTGCTTGATCTCTTGCCCTACTTTCCAGACTTGCTGTACTTTCTCGGTGCGTGACAGCAGCAGTGCTGGCCCGGCCGTGGCTGTGCCCAGCGCTGGTGGGGGCACGGCGTGGGCTGGAGGCACCGATGTGCTGCATTTTGCCCCAACAGAGCTCCCCAGCACCGGGAGGATGAAGGGCAGAAGGAGACCGGGCTGAGAAGGGGACAGCGTGTGGGTCTGCGGCATTTGCTCACCACCATAGCGATCCCTGAGCCAACCTCACTGAGCATCAGTGTGGAATTTTGGGACTGAAGGAGTCAGGGTACCCTCTCCAAGGCAACAATCTCTTCTTCCTCACCGCCGTTCCCTGCTCCATCCCCTCCATGGCCTCCTCGGAGGGGCTGCAGTACCGCGCGCTCTACGAATACCAGAAGGACCGGGACGAGGACCTGGCGCTGAGCCCTGGGGACGTGCTGACTGTCAGCAGGGCTGCACTACTCTCTGCCCCCAACTACAAGGACGGGGACGAGCGCAGCCCCCAGGGCTGGCTGCATGGCCTCAACGAGCGCACCAAGGAGCGCGGACACTTCCCCGGCACCTACGTGGAGTACCTGGGCCCCGTGTGCATCACCACCACCAAGGCCAAGACACGGCCATTGCCCCAGCCGCCTGCCGGGACCCCTGTGCCCACTGGCCAGCCCTGGGGTGAGTGTGGGGATGGGGGAATTCTAGGATGAATCATGGAATGGCTTAGGTTGGAAGGGAAAGATCGTCTAGTTCCAACTCCTGCACACCATGATCCTCTTTTCCTCTGGGATGTGACAGAGGAGAAATCGCTGCTGTGCAGGGCTGGGGGAGCAGAATGGGCATCTGCTGGTGAGGAGTCCCCTCCAAAATATGGTTCCAGACACCAGCAGTGGGACCGCTCAGCCCTTGGGTTGAGCAGGACATGGGTCTGGGGGTGCACCTGCTAGAAGGACCTGGATGAACCCCAATAAAATGCTGGGAGCTGTCTGAACCAGAGGAATGGGAGCGGGGATAGCATCCACTGCAGGTTTCCAGGCTCTGCTTTGCAGCTGTTCCCAGTTGTGTGGGATCCAGTCTGGGATCTGGGCACAGAGCATCCCCCGGTTCCCCCCATCCCTCCCCCCTCACAGCAGCGCTGCCAATGACGACATCCCCTGACGCCAGCTGCCACCCTGCTGCCCATGGGCTTTGCCATGCAGCTCCTGCAGCTCCCTGCAAGCATGGAGGCTGGGATCCACCTCTGTCTTCCCTTGCCAAAATGTGGGTGACCATCCTTAGTTCATGCCCTGAATGCACCAAGGCAGCCACAATCCTGCTGCTCCTGCAGCACCGGTAAGGAGGAGCGAGCAGCTGTGTGCTGCCATCCTGGATGGGCAAATACAGCTCTATGTCCCCTGCCCAGCTAAGCCCAGAGGCACACCAGCAGCCCTCTTCCCCGAGCTATTCAGAGGGCAGAGTCCTATCAAACTCAGTGCTGTAAGGCAGATATCTTGGGATCAACGCCGGTCACAGAGACTGTGTGGCTGTGGACATCCATCACCGGCCTCTCGGTAATGAGAACTGCCAACCCGCATGGAAACAGCAAGCAGAGGCTTGACTGCATGTTGGGGAATCCAAAGCAGCAGCTTCTGTCCTAAAAAATCATTACCTCGCATGTGAAGCCCAGGTGGGGGTCTCCCACTGACCCCCCAGGCCCCAGTGTGTCCTCAACCTCCCCACAGACCCTCTCCCACACTGCACGTATCAAGGCTTGGGCAAGTGGAAAATCAAATAAAATGAACAAAATAGGTAAAACCAAGATGATTTTGATCCGCTACCAGCAGGGTTCGGGGCAGCGGTGCTGCCACCTATGGGCACGCTCTGTCCCTGTCCCCTCGGCCAGTGCCACTGCATGGGGATGTGAGCACTGTCACCAGGCACTGCGACAGGAGACATCTCTCTGCTGGACGATGAGTGGTTTTGAACTAAATGCTGGTTTGAATTAAAATCCTCTAGCTGATGAGATTTTCCCTATAATGAAAACTTACAAACACTGGAGGCTTTTTTGGAAGAGAACAGCATCTGTTAATCTGCAGGGCCAGTAGGGTACCCTGGGACCCCAAACAGGGTGACTTGGGTTTTCTCCAGCCAGAGGAAGGGCTCAGTCACAAGGAAAGAAATGCATTTCCAAGCCGTGCCCCAGAGCCAGGGCTGGAACCACAGGAAGGAATGGTCTTTTTAAAATTAAATAACTTCCTAAAAATGCCTTTGGTATGGAGCCAAGTGCTGTTTGCTGCATGGGGTCTTCCTAGGAGCTTTGAGGCTGTTGTGGCCCTGCCTGGTTGTCCCATGAACATCACCTCCCATGAGCATCACCTCCAGGACCGCTCAGTCATGTCTTCTGAATGGAAGAGGGAACAAACACAGGGAGCAAGCTGGCCACACTGAACTCAGCTTTTGTGGGAAGCACAGCACCTTTATTTAATTCACCATTATTTTTTAATACAATTCCACTAAAACAGATCAGGAGCCTGGAGGGGAGAGAGATGGATGAATGAATGGGTGGTGGGTGGATGGATGGAGCATCCACAAACAGACTGATGTATCCTCTTGGGAAATGTTAATTACATCATTAGTTGGAAGTGAGAGATTACTAAAAACAGAAAAGGAAGTAAAATGGACTATGAAGGTAGCTGTTATGGACTCACCTTCTCTCTGGGTGGTGATACAGTGAAATACGGTGTCAACACATGTACAGATGGGGTTATGGTCCTTGTATTACCTAAGGACTCAATTTCTTGAATACTGATTGAGGAACAAAGCCTTTATGTTTAAAGCAGTCTGAGATATCTCCAGAATTTCTGTACTGAGTACAAAAAGGCATTTAAATTCCCATTAAAGGATTACTGGGGGAACCAACAGGGAAAATAAATTTGGATGGAAGGAAGGAAAGAAAAAAGGACGGAAGGAAGAAAGAAATGAAAGAAGAAAGGAGAGAAGGAAGAAGGGAAGGAAGGAGGAAAGAAAGAAAGGGGGAAAGGAAAGGGGGAGGGAGGGAAGCCATGCACAGAACAAAGTGGGAATGGAAGAAGCACACTTCAAGCCCTTCTCCCCATCTCTCCCCAACAGGGCTCTCGGGGCAGGCAGAGCACAGCGAGCAGCCAGCCCTCCCTGAGCAGGCACTGCTGACCGTGGCCAGGCTCATCGAGGCGCTCGAAAAGCAAGGTATGGGCAGCCAAGGGGCAGCCACCCACTCGGCCCATGGTCACTGGTGCTCCTGGAGCACTGCCAGAGCTGTCCCTCACCCTGAGCATGCTGGTATCCCTGCAGCGTGGGCAGAGTGAGGCATCCTGCAGTGTGGGTCCCTGCTTGCTTCTATCACAGGCATGTCAGAGGCAGGATTTGAGGTTCTAGGACTGATCCCTGTCTCCCTGCTGTTCTACAGGTCTCGATAGTGAGCTGCTCTACCGATCAGACCCTGGTGTGCTGGATGACACTGAGCTGAAGGAGGCTCTTCTGGCAGGTAAGTCCATGCTTGCATCCTTCCTCGTGTCCCACGAATGCTTGCCACCATCAGCATGGGTGGGTTAGTCTCCGACTTTTTTATGACCCTATGTATAGACAGTAAGGCACTGGCCATACTGAGCCCCCCCTGCACTCATCTGGTCCTGCTGGGATGCTGCCCATATGGATGCAAGAGTGGGGATGGCACAGACTGCAGGGCGCTGGCACACAGTGTCAGTGGCAGAAAGTAAAATATTATTGGTTTTGGCTAGAGCCCTTTACTAGAAGCTGGGTGTTATTAGAAAAAAATCTGTTTTGCAAACTTCTGAGGCTTCTATTTGAGAAACAGCGTGTGAGTGCAACAGAGAAAAAGGAAGGAGGAAAACGAAGCTCCTATTTGAGGAGATGGGGGACACGGGGTTTCCTGCTGGAAGTGGGGTGCACCAATCCACCCCTTGCCCTGCACCTGAGGGAGGCACTCAGGCTCCAAGCACAGCCCCGCAGTGCCCGAGCCGGCAGCAGCCGGACTGTGTTGCTGGGGAGAAGGGCTGTGATGAAATCTCTATATTAAGCAACATGACCTCATCGCTTCCCTGCTCTCTGCTCTCCGGCTGCAGAGTCCCCGTCGGGCGGGGGAACAGGCACTGTGTGCCCCCAGTGCTCCCCATAGGGAGTGGCTGCATGGGGGGATGTGTGGGGGTCCCCCAGCTCACGGCTGGGGGGTGATGCTCAGCCCTGTGCAGGATGCAGACATCACTCCCCCTGCATCCTCCTGCAGGGTTTTGTAGCATTTGGGCTGTAAAACATCAGTGCTGGAAAAGGGGGTTGGGAGTGGGCACAATCTGCGTGTGAGGGTCACACTTGGCCCCGTTCTCCCTGTAGTCTCCATCCCCATGGCCAGGACCCCATCTCTGTTGGCAAAAGTCAAGGTCAGTTTCGGGGAATGGGGAGAAATCAGATACGGGAACTGAATCTTGCCTCAGCTGGGGAGAAAAGCAGGTCTGGGGAAGAGGCATCGGGGTCCCAGTGAATGCCCTATTCATGCTGCTGTTTGGCAAATGGAGAGGAAAAACTTCTAGAAAAGACAAGAAAAAGGAGAAGGGGCTGAAGTAGTTGGTTTTCAAACTCCTGGATCTTAACATGTCTGAGAAAATGAAGTATTCCCTACACTACAAGAGCATCTCACATTTTGATAGGGAGTGGGAGGCTCCTCTGGTTGTGTACCCATGGCTTCATGGCTGCCCCTATGGCTCCCCCAGAATGGCTCCCATGCGGACTGGTGGTGGCTGCGGTTCTGGAGATGGGGACAGTGATGGGGATGGAGATGGAATGGGCATGGGATGGGTCGAAGCTGCAAGTGCAGGTGGGATGGGGGGGGGGATATGTGTCCCCCAGCCCCAGAGCTGCTCCATTACTCCAACACATTGAAATTTGGGATAGTGGAACTCAGCCAGGTGCTGTCCCTGCTGCTGCGGGAGCAGGGCAATGTCCTGCAGGAGGGGGACATCTGAGCACTGCATGACTTTAGTACAGATTCTAGATCAGAGACCTTGTGCACCGGGGTTGAGAGTGATGACACTGTTTGATGCTACTGCCCACTGGCATGAAACGTACAAGCCCCCCCTGCTTTGATAGGTGATGTCCTCTCCCCCTGCACTGTCTCCGGGTCCCAATCTGGAGCTGCCTTCTCCTCGTGACTGCACTGAAGCAGCCACTTGGCAGGAGCTGCCGGGTGCCAGGGAGAATCCCGCAGCAGCAGAGTGGATTGGAGCCGCTGTCTCCAGGCGAGCGGTGCCGTGCGGTGCCATACTGCCATTCTCCCCGCTTTGATCTCCGGCCCCAGCGCAGCACAGTCTGCCTGGAGACACGCTCACGTGCCCGGGAATTAGGTCAGGGCTCGGTGGGGATTAGCGGTGGCGGTGGGCTCTGTGAGCTGCTGCTGGGCAGAATGCAGTGGGTCGGAGCAGGGTGCTCGCATCTCTCCCCAGCATCAGTGTGTGGTGGGGGCTGTGTCCCCCCGTCCTCTTCTCAAAGGGATGGAGCCTCCAAGAACTCCGGTGTCCCCACGCCATGCCATCAGCCCCATCACAATGACTTTACTCCATGCACCCCAGTGCCTGCGGTTCTACTCTTCGTTTGTACCTGTAAATAAACCCCGCAGCGGTCAGAGCCTGGGAGGAAGCATGAGTTCATCTGTTATATTTGGTGGGGATGAAAGAAGGGTGAATTAGTGGCAGTGGCCGCCTGTGACTCATGCCTCACGCCTTCCCCATCTTGGCTCCAGGGAGGGGTCCCAGCGCTCCAAACCAGGGTGCACGGTGGGGAAAATCCCAGCCAGGGCTGCAGGAGCTCAGGGCAGGGCTGTGCCGCAGTCACCAAGCTCAGGGTGACCTCAGGGCTGGCACAGGGACGTGACAATAAGGCTGAGTCAAAGGCAGGGAAATTCCACAGGGAAATCCCCCAAATGGGATGGATATCTGGGAGGCTCCGAGATCACGCATGGATAGGAAGAAAGGTCCTGATTTAATCTTCATTCAGCACTGGAAGTCAAAGTTTGGGGTACCACTGTGCCACAGGGACTTCAGACCCAGAGGCATCACACTGCAGCTCAGCCCATGCCATTCCCCACAGATGTTGGGCACATGGGATCCCTGAGCTGGCTGTGGGATATGGGATGCAGCCATCACCTCTGTCCACATGCATGGCACAAATGGGGCAGAATGGCTGCTTGCCAGGCTCCATTCAATCCTCTTTTTCCCAAAACCCCCAGCCCCTTCTGGGCCATGCCAAGCATCCTCCTACTTTCCTTTTGCCGCAATTTAGGCACACACCACGAGGCTGTCTTACTCACAGCTCCCTGCTGCAGCTGCTGGGAGATATCCTATCATTTCCCACCCAGCCTGACTCAGCCTCAGCCCCCTGCCCCCCGGGGGGCTTCCCTTGTTCTGCCTTGCAGGGTCTCAACTCTCACAGGGAAGAAAAGGGAGCCCCCAACCTTTCTCCCTCTCTGAGGTACCCCCATGTGCATATCATGCCCTGTGCTTAGGGAGTTGGTATGGGGCTGAGGAGGGCTTCTGGGGACATAGGGGGTGTTTTCCTGCTTTGTGGCACTGGATGGGGTCCCTCTGTCCTTGCACATGTGCTGGGGAGAGGACAGGGATCTCCAGGAAAGGGCTGGAACATCTGGAGAGCGTGGGGGACAGTGACTCATTCTGCAGCATCTTTAGCTTCTTACGGGGTTATCATCTCCCTGTGATAGCAGAGCGGGGGCAGCTCCCTGCCCACTCCTTCCCAGCTGCCAGCAAACATCCCATGGGGCACAGCTTCAAGCCCCCCAAAGCCAGCACCAGGGCACTTAGGGCAGCACCGGGGCACTTAGCCAGCACCAGGGCACTCAGGGCACCAGGGTGCTCCCCCTGCACTTAGGGCAGGGGACATGCCCAGGAGGATGGGGTCACCAGAGTAGGGCCATTTCTATCTGAGCAACTGAGACTGCGTGAAAGCAGTCCCATCTGAAATTAATTGTTGGCAGCAAGGTAACCCCCCTCCAGTCTCTCCACTGCATCTCTCTCTGGGTGCAAGGATGTTTTCCAGTTTTGCTTTGATATCGGCTGAGCCTTCCCTTTGAATACGCCCCTAAGCCTATGCCCAGTTATGCAAATGAGCTAATTAGGCCACAGCAGAGCTGCAGGCTAATTGCCTCAGGCAGCACCCACTGGCATCCCCTTCCCTGCACAGAACAGGCGGTGACTGCTCTCCCCAATCTGCATGAGCATCATTTGATGGATCCCCAGTGAGACCTCCGTGGTGGGATGTGCCCATCCAGGGCAGATGCAGGAGGGATTCTGGCATGGAAATGATGTCTGAGAGCAATCTCAAACCAACTGGAGGGGTGGAACAGGTTTGGGGTTTGGCTGCTGCTGCCCATTTTTTCATCATCTCCAAAGCTGGAGAGTTTCAGCCAAATGCAGGGGTTAGAGCACCTCATGGGACACTGGTGGCTGGTTGGGAGTCTCCAATTGTGCAGCTTGGTGATGGGAACATGACAGATGAACTCTTCCCATGGGCACTTTTCCACTTCTCTCCATTTCTCCTCTTCCTGCTGGCATTCTGCAAAGGGTCCCATCCCCATGCTCCTTTGACCTGGGTCATTGTGGTACAGTAGCTTTTGTTGCAGCCACCCTGTCAGGCTCAAGGCTGGTTTGTGGCTAGCAGGGTGCTCACTCCTGAAGATGAGGTAGCGTCTCCAGTCTCTGGGTTAAAGGCTTTGCCTTGGGATTGTTCAATCTGTTTGCTTTCTGGTCACTGAGCCAAGAACCAGGCACTGTAGTCCTGTTGGTAAGGGACTCACTATGGGTTGTGGTCCTGGAGCAGCTGGGCAGAGAGATGGGCACCATCCTGGTGGGAATGTTCTGAGGGAGCTGCTCTCCAAGCACACAGCAAGAGGATGGATGGGAACAGAAGACCCATTTTAGAGTGCCCAAATTCTGATGAGAGTTTGGGTGCTTCATGGCCTGCCCTTAGGAAATATGGTTTTCCAACATTTGGGGCTTACGCTCTCTATGGCCAGTTGAAGTGGTTGGAGGCTCATAGTATTTTTTGCTGAAAAATGCTGTGGGTTTGGAGATGGAGCACCTCCCTGAACACTCCTGCTTTCAGTAAAGCTGCATTTGGGGATGAAAATGCAGAGAGAGGGGAAAGGAAGGGTGTTCAGGACATGGCAAACCCAATGCCTTGCTTCTAGACCACAGCCATGTAGGGCCTGAAACATCATCATCAAGAAAATGCAAAGTCTGGTCCATTTTCTGATATTCTGCTTTAGAGGAGAGAAATTCAGTTTCTATACATGCACTGTCTCAATCGGTCCCAAATACCTTGGGATTTCCTCCCCATCCCCCTCCAACATTTCTTCTGCAAGGAAAATTTCAAAACCTTCATGTTTGGATCCAATTCGGATCAGAGCCAGATTTTGAAACCTCAACATCTTCGCCAAAGGCGATGCGTCCCCCCCGGCAGCTGCCTGGACTGGGACCTCCAAGACAAACGCATGAGGCAATGCCTCGACGGACAGTTGAAGTAATGTCCCCTTGGCAAGCCTGGCCATGCGACTCCAATGGAGCACGGGACGTGTTTCCCAAGGGCTGACCCATTTTGGGATGATCTCAGCCTTCCTCACATGCTTTGCCGCAGTCATGGGGTTGCGCAGCATTGCATCATTCCATAGAATCACAGATTCATTACAGTTGGAAAAGACCTGTAAGGTCATCCAGTCCAACCACCAACCCATCCCCACCGTGCCCACACACAGACCCATAAAATCATCAGCCCACAGTATGGGTGCTGTCCCATGGTGGGAAACTCAGGGCTCCTGTTGGGTCTCTTGCAGATGCCTCAGGCGTGGACATGGAGATGTACGATGCCCAGACATTGGCAGAGAGCCTGAAGTGGTACCTGCAGGAGCTGCCAGTCCCCCTTGTCCCTCCCACGCTCTGCACCGACCTGCTCTGTATGGCTCAAGGTAAGCAGAGCCAGGCTCTCCCCATATTTTGTGGGGTGGAGGAGTTTTGAGAAACCCCTAGCATTTCCTCTCCTCATTCTCTGGAGACACTGTATCAGGGGCACATCCCAAAGGTGGTCAACTGGCAGCATCCCATGCTCCACATGGCAAATTTTGAAGAAGCAAAGGGAGAGCAGTAGGCATAGGATCCCCAAGAGAGAACAATCTGAGTCGTGGGGTCACGTATCTATGACACTAATACAGACCATGACTCCTGTGTCCTGAGTGGGGGAGGTGTTTGTGAGGGCAGAAAGGATCATGGGGACGGCTCTGCCTGAGCAAGGAAGTGGATGGATGGAACAGCCCCATGCAGGAATGGTGCCAGCAGAAATACTGCTGGGCTGGGGGCACCTGGACACTGCCTTCCCATTCCCCTTTGGAGAGGAGAAATCAAAGGCTGCCTCCTTTCCAAGGATAAAGAAGCAATTAGCTGGGTTGCCTCGTTAAGCAACTTCAAAGGAAAGCACCTTTCTTCAGCCCAATCCTTCCCCTTGCAGTTCAGCCCTGCAAGGAGCAGAGGCAAAACTCCAGGGCTTTCAGAAAAAATACCAAAAAGCAAAACTTCTGGGAGATGAAGGCCCCTTCATCGTGCAATATCTTGCATCCCTCATGGCAATGACAGGATGTCTTCCCTCTGCTGCAGAGACCCTGAGCGTGGAGGACTGTGGGCAGCGTGCCCTAGCCCTGCTGGCCCCCCCAGCCCTGCCACAGCCCCACATGCTGCTGCTGCGGGAGCTCATCCAGCACTTCGGCCACCTCTGCCAGGCTGCCTGCAAGAACCAGCTGTCAGCACAGCTGCTTGGGGAGCTCTTTGGGGAGCTGCTCCTCCGCCCTGAGTCCTGCAGGTGAGACCCCTCAGCCATCCATGTCCCACAGCTGTTGGGGATGCTGTATGGAAATGTGTGGGTTGGGAGGCAATTTCCTAGAATCATTAAGGTTGGAAAGGACCACTAACATCACCCAGCCCAACCCACCGCATCACGCCCACTGACCACATACCTCAGTGCCACATCTCCATGGCTCCTGAACACCTCCAGGGACAGTGATCCCACCACCTCCCTAAGCACTCTGTGCCAGCACTGTGCTTTCAGAGAATGAATTTTTCCTGAAATCCAATCTGAACCTCCCCAAGTGCAACTTGAGTCCATTATCTCTCCAAGTGTCACTCCTTACATGATTTGGGGTGGTCAACTCAGGGACCTTTGGGGACATCAAGCTGCTGCCATCCTCACACTCGCCCTGTTGTCCTCGCAGCACTGAGGCAAACCCTGAGCTCTGCGCAAGGATCATCGAGTCACTCATCATGGCTAGCGAGGCAGCCGAGGTGCAAGCAGCCCCTGGTAAGTGATACCGGGATGAGGGGACAGAACTGGTGGCACTGCCTGGGAACAGTCTCACGTGGTCCCATCCTCTGTGGGTTTGGGGGAAGGAAGGGACTCAGTGTGCTGCTTGCCTAGTTGTGGTTTGGAGCTTCTCCTTTGGTGGTTTAAGCCCCAGCCCTCGTCCGGCCATGTCCCAGTGCTGTGACTGTCCTGCCTAGCGAGACTTCGTGTCCATCATTGCCGGACCGCAGCAGGTGCCGCCAGTACTGGTACAGCCCCCTGGGTGGATGGATGCAGTAGGGAGGAAGAGTGCTGGTGGCTCAAACTGCAGACCCTGAGGACCACAGAGGTCCATCCCTGTGGGATCCCCATCCCCACACCGAGCCACCCAGCAGCTGCAGCTGCTTCCAGCCTTCCTGCCTTGTAATATATCTGGTCCCTGTCATCGCCTCAGGTCCCTGCAGGGTGGCCAGGCCAGGCAGGATTACGGCTCCTAATATTGCTCATAAATCAGCCCTTCAGACTTGTCAGCTGATCTCTTCCCTGCTGATCCAGATGTTGGACAGCTGTGGCAATGGTCTCTGCGCAATGGTGACGTCTCCTCCCTTTGCTGTCCCCGTACCCTGAGGCGGCACTGGTCATCCCTACCCTGCACTGAGCAGGGGGTGGCTGAGATTCAGTGGATCCCCATCCCCTTTTTGGGTCCACTGGGGACATGTCACCATGAGCCAGGACAGCCGTACCACTGCACTGCGTGCCACCGGACAGGTCCTGCTGCTCTCCATATCCAAAAGAAGGAGGTCATTACCTAACTGTCATCACATTAGGATGTTGGGAAGCTTAATTAAATGCCTGCAAAGCACTTTGGGAAGCTGCGGTGCTATATATAAAGTGCAAAGAATTATTATTAGGCAGGGGACGCGCGCCTTGGCCCAGGCCCTGGCCTCTCCCCCCACGTCCCGGCACCGATATTATTTTGGGGTGCATGTGGAGCCGCCGCTTTCTAATTCTTGCTGTCAAATAGCTATAAATACCCAGCAATAACACAGCGGTGTGTGAAAACAGCCCGGGAATAGGAGCCGGGAGCTGACACGGAGGAAACCGCGCTGTGACCTCATCCTGACTCAGGCATAAATATACCTGGTGGCAGTGGGGCACGGGGCCCCACGGGCATGGGGACAGTGGCAGTGAGGTCACCTGTGGGGTGGGTGACCCTGGGGGCTCCACCAGTTCATGAGCTGGGGCTGCATCCAGCGCTCCCCGCTGTGCCCTCCGGCACGTCCCCAAAGCCACACCCGGTGCAGGGACATGGGGATGTTTTGGGGTCTGGGGGGCACACAGAGCCTGGTGCAGGAACCCCAGCCCCAGGGCTGGTTCCCAGTCTGGGTGAGGGGGAGGGAAGACGGAGGGAAGCAGTGATGTAAATACCGGCTCAGCTGAAGGAAGATGACTTCATCTCCTTTTCCTCTCCTGCTGCTATTTATAGGCACTTTAATTTACTCCCCTTTGCTTTATTATCTCTCCAGCAAGCCGTTAGCCCTCAGACAGCAGGATGCCTTTACTCACCATGCAGCAAAGACTTGTGAAAAAAAACAAAACAACTAAACACACATACACACACACAAAAAATTCCACAGACATGGAAAAGCCAAACATTGGGGCAGGAGGCAGGCAAAGCAGTGCACTGGGGGCAGGAGCACTGCCATTCCTTGCCCCAGGTTGGGAAGAAAATGTGACCTCTTCAGCTCCTTTGTGAGAAAAAGCGGGGATAAGGTGTCCCCATTCCAGAGCAGGGTTTTGGCAGAGTACAGCCTGGGTAGTTTCCAAACCCAGGTCCTGCTTGGGGCTGTGCTGCTGGCAGGGGACACGGCCAGCTGTCCCAGTGCGCGGCGGTCACCCCTGCATCACTGTCTGTGTGCCAGTCCTGCTGCCGTGATGCGCTCCTCAATGTGCCAGGAAGGGGAGAGGTGCAATGAGCAGGAAAAGGGATTGGAGTTTAAATAATGTGGGGGGGCATCTCCTGCTGTCCCCGAGAGTGTGATGGAGTGGTGGCAGGGCAGCATGCGGATGGCAGCGGGGACACTTTCCTTTAGGCAGTATTTTGGGATGCAGCCATGAGCAGCTAGCACTTGGCTTGGGAAATCAGCCCCAGAGTGCCTGTGAGACAGCCAAAAGGAAGGGGGTGAGCCTTCCCCTGGCCAGAGCATCTCTAGGCTGCATTGCCTTTCCACTGCCCCTTCCCATATTTCATCCCTTGGGGTTGGAGGTGGAGAGCCCCTGAGCAGCAGAGGGTGTTAAAAAATGGGGAAAACTCATCTGAAAACTGCATGGAGTGGGCAAATGGAGGCAAGGGGTCCCCTGTGCAGATGTCTGGTTCTGGCTCCCCTCATCTGAAGATAATACAGTGCAAACAAATTAATGCTGGGGAGGGGGGAAAAAAGAGAGCAAGAGCCTCGCTAGCAACATGAGATAGGGAGAGCAGCTAAAAATAACAGATCCCCCAAGGCGCGGGGAGAAACACGACAAGGATGTGCACACTTGCAATCCCAGAAGGAGCCTCTCGCCTCTCCAGCTGCTCTGGCCCAAGTGAAGATGAGGCAGTGAAAAGAGAGGGGAAAGCCTCCGGGTTGGCCGAGCCTAAGAGATGGCCAAACCTATGGGATGGCTGAGCCCAGGGGATGGCCAAACCCCATGCTTCCCACTAGTGCTGGAGATGGCCCCATTTCCCATGCAGAGTGTGGGGATGAAGCAAGGGATTTCTGCTCACTACCCTGAGAAGCTGAGCTGGGGGAAGACGTCAGTGCTGTCATTTTGGTAGCTGAGCTGAGTTGAGGTCTCTGTTAGCACTCCCTCTCCTCCATCTCAGATCAGATTATCATGCTGCTCCCACAGTGTCCCACAGTATCCTCACAATGTGGACAGAGCCCAAGCTCTGCCAGCATCCCTAAGGATGCAGCAGAAGATGGGGTATCCCAAGCATGTAAGATACCCTTGGCTGGGAGGCGTGCCTGACCCACTTGCTGCATTCTTCAGTCAGATGCCAGTGGGAGACCCCAGCGGTGCTGCCTTCGTGGCTAATTTTAGCCCGTGTTTAATTAATGATGGAGTAAGGAGGGTAGCAGCAAGATGGTGAGCCCAGCCCCTGCCTGCTGCTGGAGGAATAGGGGTAATGTGCAGGGACGTGGTGTGCAACAGCAGGACCAGCAACCAGCGGAAGCATCACTCCACTCAGATTGGAGCCCTTTTCCTCCTCAGCCGTGTGGCCAGGGCTGATAAGGGGCTAGGGAAACCCACAGTATTGTGCTGCCAAACAACAATGCTGGGGAGGAATCACGGCCAGGAGGAAGCAGGGGGCCGGGGTGAGGATTGAAGCCCCTCCATGTGCTTTCTAGAAATAATTCCCCACTTTCCGTCCAATGTTTTGGGATGGCTCCAGCAAGTATCACCCTTCTGCTTTGGGGCTGAGCCCAGTGCGATCCTGGTGGTGTCGGGGGTGGCAGTGGCTGGTGGCTGCTGGTGACACAGTTATTCTCCAGGCCTGCCTGGCTTTAAAATCTATTAACGTCACTTGGCCGATCGAGCCGGGAGCTGCACAGGCAGATGAAATGCTGGGGCACAGATCAGATCAGAGCAGGATTTCAATTACAGTAATCAAAGGTGACACAGATAAGGAACCTCTGCTCTATGAAACCACGACAGCTGTCCTCTGGCTCAAACCAGTGCGCATTGAGAGCGGCTCCATCAAAATCACTGAAGTGGTACTCGGGTAAAATTGGATTGCGAATCCATTTTTATCTGGCATGGTGGAAAACGCTTTCCCTGCGCTCCCTGGGGAAGAAAAGCAGCTTCCTAGGGGGGAACAGACATGGCAGAGGGGACATTGCCCCACATCCCTGCAGTGCTCCTAGGACAGCTGATGCTGGAGATAACCAGAGGCTCAGGAGCATTGAGCTTGGTGCTCTCCAGCTCCTGGACATGCTTTCGGGTCCCCGAGCAGAAAAATCATATAATCATAGAATCATAGAATGGGTTAGGTTGGAAGGGAAGTTAAAGCCCCCGAAGTTCCAAATCCTGCCATGGGCAGCCCATCCAGCCTGGCCTTGGGCATCTCCAGGGATGGGGCATTCACAGCTCTCTGGGCAGCTGTGCCAGCCTTGATCTGCTAGGAGTCAACTAGAAACAAAGTTTGGAGCATTCTGGATCTTGGTAAAAGCTGAAGTCATAGTTTAGGGCATTGCAGAACATCCAAACCATCCTGATGGCTCTTTGGTCCAGTGGCCCAAAGGTCCTCAGTGTTGGCTGCTCATCTTCTGCTCTCTTGGCCGACTTCTTTCATTTGAAGAAACACTGGGAAGGGTTCTGCAGTAGTGGGGCTTTTGGCCCACCTGGCCAACTTCACTCTGTGTTCCGGGCTCAGCCATAACCATCCATCCTCTGCACATTTATCAGCGCAGCTCTGCTCCGCTGCCTCCACCAGCTGTTGCCATAAAAGCATTAAACTGAAACATCTGGAGCATCTCAGCATGAGAAACCCAAGTGTTCTGGGGTCCGGAACAGCATGGATGATCCAAGACAAATTCCCAAGCCACCAGGCTCAACTTGAGCTTGCTCTTTCCAGCCAGAAGTCTATCCAAGTGGCTTCATCCCTGCTGTTAGTGGAGCATCCAGCTCTGACTTTTCCCTTGCAGAAAGAAATAGAAAAACCCCCATGTGTGCAGCACGTCCCTCCCTAGAGCTCAAGGGTTCCTTAATTTCAAGAAGGGTGGATGCAGAATAAAGGGTTTTGCCATCCGGATTCCTTCTGGGCACTTCCTGCTCACGCATGGCCCCTCAGTGCTGCCTTTCGGCAATTAATCTGGGCATGCTTTACATTAACGAGTCTCCCCACTTTAAATTATAAATGGCCCTCGGCATGTGTGCACACAAACGCACGTGCGTGCGTGGAGAATCCTTTAAGGCCATCATTAGCCGTAATTAGCGGGATCTGTCACTCATCTTTGGCAGTTAACGATGAAGCCCTGAGTCACAGGGATCCGGCGGCGGATAAAATAAACACGATTTCAAACAGTTTGGAAATAACAAGCCCTTATTAATCAGACAAGCCCCAAAGGGGAGTGCTCGGAAAAGCAGCAGCATCTCTGCCATCTCCACAAGCGGAGCTGGGGGGCTCTGATATCCCATCCTGCTCCATCCCTAAAATATAGGTTTCGGATGTGCTAAGGCTTGATGACTTTGAGCAGGCAAAATCCATCCCAAAAGTGCTCCTGCACAGGTCTTCTTTGGGTGAAGGGCTTGGGATCTGGTCCTGGATGCATTATAGGAGCACACAGGAGGCAACAGGAGCATTCCCAGGATCCCATGGCACGGAGCAGAGCAGGATCTGGGGACAGGGTTGGCATGAAAGATGATTCCTACAGAGCAAGGGGAGCTGGGGAGGTTTTGGCTGTCACAGCTGCAGCTAAATCACAGCAAATAGGAGGGGAATGGGACACACGAGGCTGGATTATATTACAAAGGAGCAGTCCATCATGGGGTATTTAAAATAATCCGCTTAGATGCACAGTAGCAGATTTGGAGTGCTAAGGGAATTGAAGGCGCTGTGGCTTTGCAAGGCTGGATCAGATCTGGTGAAGATGCCACTTAGGACAGCACATCCTGTCCTGCTTTGTTGCCACAGGGGACAGGCACATGGCCCCGCAGCCCCACAAGGTAGCCACCAGGATGTGTCCAAGGTGACACTGGTGATGCTGGGATGGGTGGCATTTTCCTGGGATGTGCAGAGGATTCTCTATGCACCCTCTATGGGTGATGCTGAGCCCCACACATTCAAGCATGGTGAAATGGCGGTGGGAATACCTAGAGGGGAACTGTAACTGTGCTGATGAGGGATGCCAACCTCATCCATGGGCACCTGTGACTCTGCTGGGGCTGGGGATGCCTGGAGATGGGTGTCAGGGGGCTACATGGGATTGTTGGTACTTCTCCCTGAGTAATGGGGACATGGGGAAACAGATAATAATGCTTTTCCCCAGTGTGGGCATGCAAGCCCCATTAGCATACCTCAGGATGGACCACTGACCCCAAGAGCTGGTAGATTCTCAGCTGGCGTGCAGCACCCCAGGAGATCTGTATGCTCTGAGCATCCCTGCATTGCTCCTCCAAGTCAAGCTGAAAGCTCAGCCCCAGGAAGAGGCATTTCCCAAAAGAGCATCCTTCCAACAGCAAATTTTCATCCTGGGCTCACAGTCCCACACCTCTAGACTGATGTCAGGGCTTCAAGCCATGAAGACAGACCCTGCAGCACCCCTCTGTCACTCGTGATGCCCCAGCCATCATATTGCCTGTCCCTTTGGGCCTCGCACCATGCCCACAAAATTGATGGTCACATCTGATAAGGCTGTGGGACCACCTGCTCTTCTCCTTGCCCTTCTCCTGCACCCTCTGTCCCCTCATCACCCCTGCTCTGTGCTCCTGTGCCACACTCCTCTGGGTTTAACCACTGTCCCCAGTTTCCCTCAGTTTTAATCCAGGGGAGGATTAAGGTTAACAAGCTCCTGGAGCCACCTAGCCCTCGTGCCTGCACAGGCGGACCGATGTGTCCTGGCCCCAGAGAGGGCACGGTGCCCTGAGTATTCCTGCAAGCCTAGGAGATAGGGATGGGGTTGGGGATGGGGATGGTGTTCAGGCTAGGGGTGAGAATGGGGTTGAGGGTGAGGATGAGAATGGAGACAGACGGGCCTTGGGCTCTCCCCCATTTCTTCTCATCCTCTGGTCTCTAGATAGGTCTGGACTCATGACAGCTAGTTTGAATGATGGAAAATATCTTAATCCCAGTAAATCCATGATCCTCATGGTGCTGCCCACCAGAGACCCCTACTCCAGACTTAAGACCCAGGGGTATACAACCTGTGGAGATAGGGAGGACAGGGTACCGAGGATGCTACTGCCATGGGGCAGGATGGTCCAAGCAGAGCTGCCTCCCCTTGTGTCCACCTATTGCCGACTCTGTTGGGAACAAGGCTTTTAGAGAGAGCAGAGGTGAAATGTTTCTATATAGTCATGTATTTTGCTATTTCTATGTGGGATTCCTATACGTATTACACCCACCACAGCCCCCAATCCTCTCATGCATTGTCTCACTGATCAGGAGGGCATGGATATGGCTGCTCCCTGGCAGGTGGGGTGGCAGAGTACCCTGTTCCTGTCACCAGCCCAATTCCATATCACCAGGAGTTGCCTTCACCTGCTCTGACCCACGAGCCATAATCCCCCTCCTGCTGCACCCGCAGGATGCAGATGAGTTATCTCAGCAGCTGGTCCTGGCTGGGTGAGCTGAGGCCAGCGCAGGCCTGGTGGCTGATGGCTGCAGGACAAGGGGTGAGGAGTGAGTGGGAACAGCCTCTGCTGAGGAAGCAGGGTGACTGAGCTCCCACCTATGCCAGTCCCAGGCTGCCAGCACTAAGCCCATCCCATAGAAAAGGGGGCACTGGATGGGGGGAACACAAACAGCACCCAAATGGGGAGGAGGGAGAGGAAGAGAGGCTCTGCCCCATCTCTGGGGTCCACAAATAGGCCAAAGGAACCAAAATATGATGTCCGAAGTTGTGTCTCCTATATTTGTAAGAAGCAAAGAAGATGCTGGGATAGTGGCTGAGCTGAGCTTTTAACCAGGCAGATTACACTTAGCAGGAGCATTTACCTCTGCCTCTAATCCGCCTCCACAAAGACTTGCTAACTCCTTCCCGTATTTAACTGGAAGGCTTGAACTCTTCGTGCTGTCTATGCTCCCTGAGCACCCAATGTCCTCTCAGGGGACTCCTATAGGCGTGGGCACTTCTCTCATTTTTCCCATGCTTTTGCCCCAGGTTCATGGGTGAACACTTCAGTGATGCTGAGGATGAATGGCTATTTGTTGTCAACATAGCCACAGGCTGTTGCTGCTGGCTTGTCACTCTGGTGGATTTTCCATAGGGCTCAGGTTGTGCCAGATGGGATGACCAGTAGCCGGCCCCAGATGGGTGAGGTCCTCAAAGCCCTAATACAAGTGGGTCAGTGCTGGAGGCATGAATCCATCCCTGCTCTTAGGAAGGGGCTTGACACAGTTTTGCCACTTTACTTTGACAGGTCTTTCTCAAAATGCAGGGTTGGACAATGACACCAGCTGTGACCTGCAAAAGGCTAGGACAGGGTGTAGCCATGGGTCACTCCTGGAGTGTCTCTGCCACAAGGCACTGAGGTCCTCTCCTCTGGACTTTGCTGAGCAAAAATCACTGCTGCTCTCAACTAAAAAGCAAGAGAAGAGCTCTGCCTGTTTGGCAAGCAAACACGGTCTTATGTTCAGCTGGATTTCTGTAGGAACAGAAAACATTCGCAGCCGGCGTGGGACAGCGGGGGCAGCAAGGGGCTGCTGCCAGGGACAAGCATGGGGGCTGGCAGGGAGGCGGGAGCCCAGCACGACGCAAAGCAGGCAGTAATTCTGTGCCAGGTCTGCAGGCTGGGATGGGAAGGAAGCATGAGCCGAGGCAGCAGAGCCAGGGCTGAGACGTCCTCTGGCTTCTGGGAAGCAGTAGCTATGGGAAATGTGGACTGCCCTAGCCAAGGGAGTTATGAATACTTATCCTATGGGATTGCTGCCGTGTTGGTTGAAGTGAAAGGCTCCCCATCCCTGCTGGTGG